GGTATGCGAATAGGATCCAGTATGAGATGCCCAAGAGGAGTCTGGGGAAGAAGTTTTGGCTGGAGAGTGTCTCTGCTGATGCTCCTGTTTTCTGTTTCTTCAGGGGACCCAGTGACCTATCCGTGTCCCCCTGGACACTACTGTGGTGGGGTGAATCGCACTGAGCCCGTCACAGTCCTGGCACCTCAGCAATGCCCTGAGCACACTTACCGCACAGCACCAGGGGCACGGAGCCTGGCGGATTGCCAGCCTTGCCCCCCAGGTTACCTCTGCCAAACACCAGGTGAGCTGCCATCTGAGGGTCCAGTATTGCTGCTGTTGGAGTCAGCTGCAAATCTCCCATTGCTGCAGGTCAATCCTGAGACAGGAGGGGGTGGAAATTCTAGCTCACGGATATGGCAGAGCCGGCACAGCTTGGCACTTTCTCCCTCCCCTGCTCTCCTCTTCTCTCTCTCCGCCAGGCCTCACCAGTTTTGAGGACTATCTTTGCCCCCCTGGGTACTGGTGCCCAGGTAAAGGGGACAGGGTTTTTTGCCCTCCTGGAACCTTCAGGACCCATCCTGGTGCAGCATCTTTGGAAGAATGTGACCTCTGCTCTCCTGGATATTATTGCCCGGACCCAGCAGAGACGGGGCTGCCCAATATCCAAGGAACTCTTTGCCCATCTGGCTATGAGTGCCCACCAGGTGAGATGCCCATGCACACCACTGAGTACAGTGGCTCCTGACTCTGACAGGACCCTGTGATCACTTCCTTGCAATGAGCCTCCTGGGCAGTGTTCCCTGTAAGCTGAACATTTAGGTGCCATCCAGGGGAGATTCAAATGTCACTGAGCTGATTAGCAGAGTGCCTGCAGGCCCACAGCCAGCAGCATGTGTTTCTACTGGTGGTGCACATCCACACATGCCTCAGTGCACATAACAAAATTTATTCTGCACATGGATTGAAAAAAATGAGAGGGAACTGCTCCTGGCTGCCTCTCACCCTGAAGTGACATTGTGAGCAGGTTGTCACCCTTAGGATCCCACCCTCAGTTTCTGTGATCGTGACACCCAAACAATGAGCTGCAACTGGAGAAGAACAGGTTCTTTGCAACAGCCGGACATGAGCCAGTCCCTTTCTGTATTTAAAGATGACACTAATAGACAAGTCAATGGACTCGCAGCAAATGAATCTGAGTCCTTCACTGAGCAAGGTGGGGCATATAGGGATGTGCTGTCATACCTGGTCTATAGACCACACAACTCTCTGGCTGCTCTCACAGTCTCCTCTGCCTCTCTCTGTTAAGGGCATACTTTTCCCATTGGAGGTAATTCACATTAGGAACTCTTAGGTCTTGTTCAGTGTTATCCCTCCATCTATTCCTTGGCAGGCCATGAGGTTGCACACCATAATGATGTCACAAGGCACTTCACTGATGTGACCTCCATCATCCTAGCCACGTCTCGCCCACTGAATGATTACAGGGTTATCCCTTCCGTTCCCTTCCCCTGCTCCCTGGAACATCACATTTCACCAGTTCTTATGTTCCCCATCAGGTTCAGTGAATCCAGTCATATGCAGACATGGCTCCTATTGTGGGCTCCGCACAGCGGTCCCTTCCATGTGTCCTGGGGGATATTATTGTCCAGAAGGGTCGTCCACATACAACACTCCTGAGCAGCGGTGAGTATTCTTGGGATGTAGGTAGCACGAGGCTCTTGGCAGCTCTGTAGACTCTGAAATGCACCTGCTGCAGCATCAGAAGATTTTAGTCACAACCTTCATGCATTTTGCAAACGGTGCAACAATATTTTCCAACACAATTACAGATTTTGAAATATTAGGACTTAAACTATTGGGACCAAATAAAGTGGTCCTCAATTTGTAGCAAGCAGCCTGAGGCTGGATTGGGGAAAGGGGCTGGAAGCAAGAATTTGGCCTGTAAGTTACTTTCATGTTTTTGGAAATTCATTCTGGGAAATTATAAAATGTAGGTTTGCATGGCTACGTGTTATCTGCATCCCCATGACACCATAATCCAGAACTGTGTGCTCAGAAACGTGAGAGCCTTTCCAAAGGTTCTGAATTAAATGCTGCTTTTGCTAATTTAATATGAGGTGATATTTTCACATTGTATAGTCTAACAGTCCACTCTGGTGTTATATTGTAGTGCCCCTGAGGGTCATTCTGAATGTATCCATGCAAGTATCACTCTCCATCTAGCTCTGGGTTTTAGACGGTTGCCTATGCATTCAAACCTGCTTTCAGGGAACTGTGATATGGTGAAACTCTGTTTATAGTGTAGTGAGAGAAGCTTCACTGCGTTCGAATGGAGTTTGACTAAATATATACAGACCCTTCCATTTGAAACAGGTTCCGTTCTATCACTTCTCTGAAAATGTAGCAACTATTTCCTCCCAGGCAGAAGTTTAACTGCTATTTTTCCTGGGGACTATATCCTCTCTCCTCCTCCTCCTCTCCTTTGGATATATAAACCTTCTGGGATGCTGTGAAGACTAGTTACCTCCCAGCCTGGCCACCAGGAAATTCAGCAAAAGAGTGTTGCCCATTAACTTTGCTTCTGGCCTTTGTCTCTCCCCATAGATGTGTGTTCCCCTATTACTGCCCTCCAGGCAGCGCCCATCCACTGCTTTGTAAGGGAGGATACACAGCCCTGAATGTGACCGGCTCAAGGGACTCCTTTGAAAAATGCTGCAGGGTTTGTGATCCAGGCACCTACCGGAGTGATTCCCTGATCGGTTCCACCTGCCAGCCCTGCCCATCAGGCTTCAGCTGCCCACAAGGTAACTGAGGGAGGAGGGGAATGCATGGAGGAGGAGGCTGGACTGTGGGAGGAGGGCCCCATGGTGAATCTGGGTGTTACAGAACCCTCAGGACTTCCCATGTGACTGTGGGGCTACGTTTACATTGGCATGATCTTGCGCAAATATTCTTTAGCGCAAGCGTTCTTGCGTTAAAGTATTTGCGCAAGAGAACATCTACACTGGCATGTGCCTTTGCACAAGAGCATCCGTGCCAGTGTAGACGCTCTCTTGCGCAAGAAAGCGCCGAAGGCCATTTTAACCATCGGGCTTTCTCGCGCAAGGAATTCATGTTGCCTGTCTACACTGGCCTCTTGCACAAGAACAGTTGCGCAGGAGGGCTTATTCCTGAGCGGGAGCATCGCAGTTCTTGCGCAAGAAGCCCTGATTTCACACATTAGAACGTCAGTGTTCTTGCACAAGAACTTGGGGCCAGTGTAGACAGGCAGCAAGCTTTGCACAAAAGCGGCCGCTTTTGCGCAAGATCGCGCCAATGTAGACACAGCCACATGTTAGCTTTCAAGGGAAAGGAAGAATCTTTCAAGCAGCTGATGGCGATGTTTCCACCTGGATCCTTTATTAGGCATGCTGGGCACACGAGCTACTTGTGCAGGGCATGGTGAGGCTCATGTATTTACACATTGGGTGCCACAGGCCCCATCCCAATAGAATAATTTATTCCCCGGGCCTGTCTCCTGAATTGCACTGGGCTGGGTTTTTCCTTTTCTGCCCAGTGTTTCCCCATTGGAGGGGACAGCAGTCTCTGTGTCTGAAATGCCCCCATTGCTTTTCCCAGGCACAGCAAGTTATCTCCAGCAGCCCTGCCCCAGGGGGTATTACTGCCCTGCCATGGCTCCTGCACCAGTGCCCTGCCCCCCTGGGACCCATGGGAACAGCAGTCTGGCAAAGCAGCCTGAAGAATGTCATGCCTGCCCTGCTGGATCCTTCAACCACCTCTCTGCTCAGACAGGGTGTTTCCCTTGTGGGAGCTCTTCCTCCTCACAGCCAGGTGAGTCATGGCCAGTGTGGGGAAAGCCACGTTCTCCTTCGAGTGATGTCCCCACGGGTGCTCCACAGTTGGTGCCAGGCTCGTCCTGGACCCGCAGATCGGAGACTTTGAGAGCAGCGAGCAGGCGGGCTGTGCATGCGCGAGCGGAGAGCAGCGCTCCCGCCTTTTGAAGTAGCGCGCGCGGCCGTCTCTCCTCAGTTCCCTCTTCGCCGCCCTCGGCCACAGACGGAGCTCAGTTCTCTCCTCTTCAGCGCGCTCTGCAAGACAAGGCGGAACCACCTTATCAGGTTAGATAGCCCTGAGGCACTCAGCACTACCTTCTTTTTACACAGAAAACAAAAACAAAACAAAAAAGCCGCCGCCTCCAGCTTTTACCGCCGCGCAGTGGCAAACAAAAGAAAAAGGAAACAGAAACCAGCGACCCACAAACAGTCTCAGCTGCTCGTACCACTATAGATAGCTTCTGAGAGACATGCCAGACTCTCCTAAGGAGAAAAGATGCAGCAAATGATGAGAATTTGTCAGCCTCTGATGCCCACTGTTTGGGGTGACACATGTACCTCAGAAATGTGTCCATTGCCATTGCCTCACAACCAGAGCTTGCAAAGAAAGGGAGCTCACAGTGCGCACGGAGTCTATGGATAGACCCCCATAATTATCAAGAGGGAAATAAGGTCTCGAGCACAACTTCTCCTCAGGGCAAACATCCAAGCCCTTCTCCTCAGAGAACACGCTCAGAACCTAGACCCGCACCAGCCTGCTCTCTACTCCTCAAGAATTAGCAAAGGAGATGAGCCAGGAACGGAAATGTCTCAAGCCTCCTCAATAATGAGCTGGCTCAAAGATGTGCTCGAAACAGCCCTCTCAATCAACTACCAAAAAAACGGGACCTAGTAAGGGCCCTGTGGTGACAGAGGCACCACTGGCATTAAAGGCATCTGGCTCACTACAAACAAGGGGCTCGTCCTTATCACAATTCAGGTCACCGTCCTTATCACAATTCAGTGCCTACTACGGGGATACAGGGAGCATGTTCTACTCACAAAATTCCTCCCCAGATAGGGCACACGCACGTTATGAGGCTTACAAACCACCACATTATCAACATACTCTGTGGCACACTGATTGTCATTGCTATGACTCTCATCGCAGCCAATGGTCCTTCTATCATTAGTGGGCACCATGATACACCACTGCACCACCTACACCCGCACAAACGTTACTGCTCTCCATGCACTCAGATGCAGCACATTCCTCATCTGAGGGCTCAGGTCTAGAGGAAGGACAGATCAAGGATGACCCAACTGTCCACCGATCTGATATAGCACCGAATGATAATTCATCCTCCGCTCCTGATGAAGCGATTATTCCAAACAACCCAACATCCACTGATGATATAAAACTACCTCCTGACTGGTAGCCACCCTTTTAAATAGTTCCAGCAGGACCTATTTAAAAGGGTGGCTACCAGTCAGGAGGTAGTTTTATCAGAGGTCCGGAAGAAACAACACGAAATCCTAAAGAATCTACAGCCCTCTGCGAAGTCCAAAATTGCACTGCCTCTTGATGAAGCAATCCTTGAGGCTGCCGATGAAGTCTGGCAAACACCTGCCATGGCCCCTCCAACTAATAAAAGGGACAATAGAAAGTATTTAATGCCATCTAAAAGCATGGACTTTCTCTACCTGCACCCTCAACCAAACTCCGTAGTGGTTGACGTTGCTAATCATAGGTCCAAGAACCCACAACATTAAACACATACACAGGACAAGGATCACAAACACCTCCCTGTGTTTGGGAGAAAAGTGTACTCTTCATCAGCCCTCTAGCTACACATAGCTAACTATACAGCACTGCTTGCAAATCATGATTTTGACAATTACACAAAATTAATAGAACTCATACACAATCTTGCAGAGGATAAAAGATCTATCCTCGAGGAAATCATTAAGCAGGGTCACACTATATCCTGTACAGTGCTGCAAATGGCCCGGGATGCCACAGACACTGTGGCTAGGTCCACTGCGACATCCATGGTGACGAGACATTCATCTTGGCCGCAAGCAGTGGGAGTCTCTAAGAACCTCAGGCCAAAGTAGAGGACCTGCCTTTCAACAAAGCAAAATTGTTTGCTGCAGGTACCAATGAAGCACTAATTACAGCAAAGATTCACGCACTACCCTTTGCACATTACGGATGTACACTCCTCCTTACCAAAGAAAGCGCTACACGCCCTATCAAAGACACAGGGACACAACCTTCACTAGACAGCACCAATACCGACCCTTTGAGCAAAACCACTTCAGATCTCGAAACCAACGAAAGAGGGCCCCAAACAACCATTCTTTTGCGACCCAGGCCTCGAGGCAGCAAGTTTGCCCAACCTTCCCCCAATTACAGAACCAGGTGAGCACAATATATTTCATCATCACTTGTGCCCCTTCTACGATCAGTGGGCAGTAATCACTACAGACCAGTGGGTCCTAGAAATTGTCAACTATGGTTATTCTATCCCTTTCACGGCAATTACTTCAACCTCCTTACCCTCTTCCTCCCTCTTCAGGGACCCCTCTCACGAGACTCTGCTCCAGCAGGAGGTTTTACACCTTCTCAAAATAGGAGCCATAGAGCGGGTCCCCAAAAAATACAAAGGGAGCAGATTTTATTTGAATTACTCTCTCACTGAAAGGAGAACAGGAGGTTGGAGACCAATTAAGCAAATATCTTCACAGGCAATGCTTCAAAATGGTCATGCTCACCACAATAATTCCAACACTGGAGAGGGGGGACTGGTTCACAGCCCTCAGCCTTTGAGATGCGTATTTTCACATCACAATGCACCCGACACACTGGCGCTTCCTACATTCACGGTAGCCTCAGACCACTTTCAATGCAGAGTTCTCCTGTTCGGACTTTCATCTGCCCTCACAGTTTTTTCCAAGACCCTTGTGGTGACCGGCATATCTAAGACGTAATGGGATCACAATATCCCCTATCTAGATGATTGTCTTATCCGAGGTACCTCACAACGGACCATCAAAGACATGGTCACAATCATGAAGACTACGCTTCAGTCTCTGGGCTTCATCATCAAGGAGCAGAAATCCATACTACGCCCCACATAATCTTTGGAGTTCATAGGGGCTTGTATAGACTCCACAACAGCTCGAGCCTATCTCCCCAATCACTGGTTCGACAATATAAGAAATCTCATTATGACCATTACCACCAGCCTAACGGTACCCATCATAAAGTGCCTCAAACTTATGGGGCACATGGCGGCTACCACATATGTGGTCCTGCATGCCAGGCTGCACCTCCCTTGTTTCCAACACCTCTCTTGTTTCCAACATCTCTTCAGTGTACACATCAGCCAGCTGTCAGTTCCACAGGCACGTTTCCCCTCCCCCAAAAGTCCTCACCTCCCTACAATGGTGGACACAGGTACACAACCTCTGCAACGGGGTACCTTTCCACCAGGACCAGCCGTCCAAACAAATTATGATGGACACTCCTCCAGAGTGGGCACAGGGCATGGCTCCTTGGGTGATGCCATGCTTCTCACTTGGGGGAGAGGGGCAGCACCTATTATACCCATACACCTTCCTACCCATTCCTCTCATTCCCAGAGTCCTCCGGAAGATACAGATGGATGGGGCCCGGGTGATCTTGATAGCTCCAGCCTAGCGCCAATAGACATGGTTCACATGTCTTTATCACCTGTCTCTACAACCTCCCTACCCACTTCCAAACCACCCAGGCCTGCGCTCCTAGAACCGGGGGCCAATACTTCACCCCCAACCACAAAGGCTCCACCAGATGGCATGGTACCTATCTGGTTCTTGGGAGCGGAGCAGCAGTGCTCCCAACAAGTGAAAAATGTTCTGCTGCATAGCAGGAGATGAACAACATGCAAGACTTACCTATACAAGTGGCACCAGTTTGCACAGTGGTGCACACATAGGGCACTCGGACCATCCAGGTCACTGCTCCACCAAGTACAGGAGTACATCATGCACCTGAAACAACAAAATTTGCCAGTTTCACTGCTCCTGGTGCACATTATGGCCTTCCACCCTTCCATTGATGGGTTCTCCATAGTTGCCCACCCCATCTCAAAAAGATTCTGGAAAGGCCTGCAGAACTTTCACCCACCTCAAAAACCCTTTCCCCTCATGTGGGACTTAGAATTGGTCGTACACTCTCTCACAAGACCACCTTTTGAACCAATGGCAACTGCACCACTTACCTTTCTTACCATGAAAACGTTTTTCCTTCTGGTGATCACTTCTGCAAGCCTGTCAGCGAACACGCAGCTCTCACTTTCTCACCTCCATACACAACCTTTTACAAGCACAAGGTCATCCTGTGGCCACACCTGTCCTCCTTACCCAAAGTGAACTCAGAATTCCATATCAATGAACCAATAATCCTTCCCACTTTCTACCCAAAACCACATCATTCCAGGAAAGAAGCTATATTACACACCCTGGACATCAGAAGCGCAATTGCCTTCTATCTCGATAGAACTCGATCCTTTCATTCGTCCCAGAGATTGATGGTTTCCCTGGCTGAGAGGTCCAAGGAAAATCCACTGTGTTCCCAGTGCATAGCAAAGCTCATAACATCAATAGGGCATTACCAATGAATCTGAAGGCCCACTCCACCAGAGCTATGGTGACATCCGTTGCTTTCCTAAAGGGAGTTTTACTCCAGGAAATACGCAGAGCAGCGACATGGTCATCTAATCACACCTTCAGAAAGCATTACGCTATTCCACCATGCTCCACAACAGATACCGCAGTAGCCAATGCAGGTCTCTCCACGATCTGTAGCAATTGATCGAAGTCCATCATCCATCTCAATAGGCACGTCTACACAGTCACCAACTGTGGAGCACCCACAGGGACATCACTCAAAGAAGAAAGAGAAGTTACTTGATTCGTGCAGTAACGATTGTTCTTCGAGATGTGTGGCCCTGTGGGTGCTCCACTACACACCTTCCTCCCCGCTTCTTTGGGCAATAATAGCAGCCCATGAGGGTGTCAAAGAAGAAACAAAGAAGCAGGCTGCGCACGCTACTTCAAAGGCAGAAGCGTCGCTCTCCACTCGCGCATGTGCAGCTCATGTGCAGCCCACCCGATCACTGCTCTCAAAGTCTCCACTCTGTGGTGCCAGGACGAGCCTGACACCAGCTGTGGAGCACTCACAGGGACACACATCTCGAAGAACAATTGTTACTATACGAAGTGAGTAACTTCTCTTTGCTTGCTTCGAGAGGGATGGTAAAACACCATTGGCCTCTGCTCATTATGACTGACTTCCTGATCCGTGAATAGGACGACCATCTGGGGTCTCTGGGATGGTCTGTGCTTGCCTCCAACCCTCAGCTCCCGCCTCCTCTGTACCACACCTGAGACTGAGTGCACAGAACTTTAACCTTCCCCACACAAACTGTGGTAGCTGAGGGGATTTAGTCCCATTGGGCACAAGAGAGAGGGAAGAGTAGATAACAGGATGGGTTCTGCCTTCCTGCATAACTCCAGCATTTCCAGTCACCCCTAGTGGTCTGGGACAGCAATCCACAGAGGCCTCAGCAGGTACCATCATGACCCAGATGGCTCAGTGGACAAGTTAAGAGGGCTTGTCTACCTACCACTTCTGCATCCCAACCCACCCCAACCCCACTTGGGTCTTTCCCACCTCTCAGTGAAGGATCCTGCCACAGGAACTTCTCTGACAATATTGCAGCTGCATAAGGCAGCTGAATCATGCTTCCCCCCCCCCGAGAGAGGGAGATATATAAACCTTCCAAGGATAAAGTGACTGTGCATTTGGGTATGTCAATAAAGCTGTCAGGTACACCATGGAGCCAGATGGGAAGCAGATGACATAGGGAAAGTTCCCTTTTGGTGGGCACAGTTTGTTCCACAAAATATGCTCCCTTCCATTGATTTGCACATCTAATTCCATAGCACTGTTGTTCTTGTCTCCAAAGGGGCTCGGAGCTGTAGCTGCCATGGGCTGAACCGGGCTTTTCAGGAGTCAGATGGCTCTTGTATCTGTCAAGCAGGATACATCTACTATGATGAGAGAGGCAAGACAAATTCTGACACCAACAGTGATCAAGACTGCCAGCCTCAGGTAAGATATTTCTGCAGAACAGCCCTACGAGCTGAGGCTGGATGGCTGAGGGGCAGGTAATGTAACATATGGGAGGATGGTGCTGTGGTGAGAATACAAATTTGGGACTGAAGAATCGGGGGACCAATTCCCTGTTCTGCCACAAAATACTCCTCCGTGACCCTGGGCAAGACACTCAGTCTTTCTGTGCCTCACTTCCCTGTCTGTGAAATGGGGATAATACTTCTCTCCCTCACCACAGTGCTACGAGGTGCTTATGTACTATGGCATGAGGCTATATTTATGGGACTTGTGTCTCTGGGATTGTCATTCTGGCTTAGTTCAGTCAGAGCGGATGTGAAATTGTTCTCATTGTTCCTCCTCACCACCCATTCACCGGAGGAGAAGTTACCCGCCCAATATTGGGGCTTGGTTGTTGGCTGGGGCGGGGAGAGACCACTCAAGTGATGCTGCTCTGGCCATGGCGTAATGTGTTTGTGCCTAAGCCTGTCTTGCGTGTGTGTGCTCGTGTTGTTGTTGCAGGTAGAGGAGCGCTGTGCTCCTGGGGAAGTCCGTCTGGCATCCACACGCAAATGCATTGCCCCCGAACTACATGACTGCTCTCCCTTCTGCGGTGCGCCGAGTGGAGAGCTCAGTGCAGAGCTGGGCATGTAAGTCTCACTCCAGCCTCCTGCTAGGAAAGCACCAGCCAGCTCAGAGTATTTGTGATGGGTTACGTAGCCAGTGACTTCCCGGTCAGTTCATCACGTGAAACTGGCCCAGGTCGGGAGCGGAGGAAGTGCTGTGTGGTCTGTGTGAATGAGATGATGTCCTCAGCCCAGGTCCTCACTGTAGAGGAACCCGCATCAAGGCCTGCCAAATTGGGAACAACTGCCCCGGGGCCCAGTGACTGAGAAGGGCCCAGGGCTCCCAGCAGCAGCAGTGGCTGGAGCCCCAGGCCCCTTTGAATTGCCACCAGAGAACTGGAGTGCCGTGCTGGGTGCTTTGTGTGACACTGAAGGCCTGGGTTGGGGTTGCCGCAGAGTGGGTGGTGCTAAGGGCTGACTGCCCTCATCCTCAGCCCCACCCCTTCTGGGCACGGATACAGGCCCCACACACACCTGGCCATGGGGCCCACGGTGGCTGTTGGCTTTGCTGTCTTCAGCCTATCCTAGATGATGATCCCTTGCTTTGTGGGAAGCAGGCCACGCCTCACTTACAGACAGCCCCCCAACCTGAAACACACACTCACAACCAGCCACACACCCCACAACAGAAACACTAACCCAGGATCTGATCCCTCCAACAAACCCTGTTGCCAACTGTCCACACATCTACCTTAGTGACACTATCATAGGATCTAACCACATCAACCATATCATCGAAGGCTTGTTCACCTGCACATCTACTAATGCGATATAGTCCAGCGTACGCCAGCAATGCCCCTCTGCCATGTACATTGGCCAAACTGAACTGTTTTGAAAGTTGATTTGAAAGTTGCCATCCGCAAGCAAAAAAAACTTCACAGACTGCAGTGTGAAACTGCTGAGCTGGAACTCATATGCAAATTTGACAATGGCTCTTTCATTACAATAAGTAATTTTCCACTTTAGCTATTCTCACCTCCTTATCCATCCACCCTGATTAAATTAGCTCTGATGTAACACACCCACTTCTGTATCCCTACTATTTGTTTCTGTTTCTTTCACTTCATGCATCTGATGAAGTGAGTTGCAATTCACGAAAGTTTATGCCATAATAAAATTGTTAGTCTTTAAGGTGCCATTGGACTATTTGTTGTGTGTGCTGAAACAGACTAACATGACTGCCTCTGAAACCAGTCTGGTTCTTATCACTCACTCTGAGGTACTGCAGTAGATGGACCTCACATGTCATTGACTCTGTAAGTTCACTATGTTTTTACAGCTTTTACAGAAATAATCACTTGACTATGCAGATTACAGAATAATGAAGCTAGTCTGACCATCAGCATCTTGCAGCTGCGTACCCAGTGACTATGAGTAACCACAACCCTTTCTCTCCTTGGCAAGGTGTCGCTGTGAGCAGTACGTCTCTGCCGAAGAGCTGTGCGATCGAGAGTGCTTGCAGAATGCCCCACAGATCTCTCTGAGCCTGGGCACTGATTCAGAGCTTTTCCTGAAGACTGAAGCAGGAGAGCACAGAGTGAGTAGAGGCAGGCTGAGGAGAACACTAGTACATTGCACATAGGTATGGGGATTGTGCCAGGCGTGTTGGTGTGATGTGGAGAATCCAGGCTGTGCACAGGAAGGAGGGAGTGACTCCGTATTGTCCAGAGGACATGGAATACTGAGAAAGCAAGAAGATGGTGAATCCTTACAGAATAGCAAGGATGTACTGAATGGGGCTGAATGTAGGAAAGAGGTGTCTCTAGGGAGTCTTAGACACATTCATTGAAGGTAAAGATGGAGCAGGGTTGCGGGAGGGAGGCTGCTTCCAACGTTAATACTGTAGTATCACTGGTCATTCTCTAGTCCCCTTTGGCCCTGCTCTACTTTGCAGAAGGTGACAAATGTTCTGGGCCCAGATGAAAATGTGCAGAAGAGCCAGCAAGTGCATTTGGTTCTGTTTGATCCCACGGGGGTATTTGGTTTCATTATTTCCAGTGCAGCCGTACTGGATGCATTCCTCACAGGTGAGTCATGAGATCTCAGTAAAGATGAAGAGTCAGCAAATAGCCTTATATTCCCTCTGAGCTACATGGGGCAGCAGAGATTTGTGTCCAAATGTTCCATGTTAAACAAGGAGGTCCCCTTTTACAGGAAATCTAGAATGTGGCCCTGTAGTCAGAGGAACATTGATTGGCTGCACTTTCAGCTCCGCCCCCCCCCCTCCCTCCCGGCACCTACCTGCCACAACTATCTGGTTGGTGGCTATGAGATCACTCTAGTTTTCCAATAAACTACTGGAGGATTCGGTGTCATTGCCAACCAGTGCAGTGCTGAGCAAAGGTCTGACGCGCCTCTCCCGCCAGTGGACCTTTGATTTCAGTTGGGTGTTTCCTGATTGACACCAGTCTCAGTGAGAGTAGAGTTGGGTTCCAAGAGTAGAAGGGGGGGTGGTGTGGTGTGGTGGGATGGGGAAAAGCAGCTTTTCCATGTCCAGGAGTAGATTGTGTCTGATCTTGCCTCTCTGGCAGGCACTTTCCCAGTGAAGTTCCCTCTCCTGTCCTCTTTTTCACCACGCCCAGCCCTGGAAAATGTTGGGTTGGATCTGCCATTGCAGAGAGGACGGCGTAGCGAGCAGACTGCCTCCTCCAAGGACACTCGCCCTTTACTCCACATCCCCAACCCTATCTTGTGTTTGAGTGTGGGAGATGCCATCCTTTTCCAGCTCACCATCCATCCCCAGGGTGAGTCTCGTCATGTAGAGTCTCATGCTGTCTTCTAGTCAGTCTAGTCATCCTGTTTGCCTGGAACCACCACGCCTTGACTGTCTACCAAAGTGTCAGCTGGTACTGCATGCCTGAATCTCTTCCACATGTCCCCTGCCTTTCTACCTTTAGACATGCCTGCCTGCAAGGCTCCTGGAGTCTATTCTAGGACCTGCCACTGGCTCAGTGTGACGCCATGGACATGGCACTTAACTATTCTCTTAATTTTCCTATTTGTATAATGAGGATTGAAGTACCTCCCCCGGATTGTGAGGCTTTTCTTGTCTGTGTGGAAAGCACAGTGAGCCTCCCAGTGGTATGCACATTCGAAGTGTTATCATTAGGTGGTGTCACACCCCTTGGGTCCCATGCACTTCTCAGTGCCATGCAGCATGATTGCACCCACCCTAACCAAGAGGCTCAGAATGGCTAACTCTGTGCTTCTCATGCTCAGATCGTGCTTCCAGCCACTACCCTGTCTATCAGAAGCAGCACCTGTTCAACAGCAATCCTAGCTGGGATTTTGGCCCTTTCCGAAGACTGGACTATCTCATTCGGGAGACTCACCTCAATATCTCCAGGTAACTCCTTATGCTACTGGGAAAGGGAGCTCAAGAGTGAGTAGAGTTGCCTCGATGAGATGTTGCACATTTCCCTTCTTTCCTTCCGCGAAAGGCTGGGTGTGTGACAGGGAGCAGCACATGAAAATCCAGGCCTGAGGGTTTTATGCACTGAAGTCCAGGGAAAGTCCTCCCCTTGACTTCAGTGAGCTTTGGATCAGGTCCTGAATTAACACAGACATTGAGTCTTCCTAAGAAGGCATTTAGCTTTCTGGCTGGAGAAACTAGTGGCTACAGATCCTACTGCCAAAGGCAGCTGGATCTACCTGTATCTGCCTTCTCTCTTGCAGGTTTGCCCATGTTTTCCTAGCTCCTGGGAGATAGCTCCCACTGCCAAAGGCAGCTGGATCTACCTGTATCTGCCTTCTCTCTTGCAGGTTTGCCCATGTTTTCCTAGCTCCTGGGAGATACGTTTTCAGGGATAACATCATCCAGGAGCATATCTTGATTGTGGCTGTGAATGAGGAGAACATGGGCTGTGACCCTGTCAGTGCTTCCTTCCAGCCCTCTTCTCCATACCAACTGGCCAGGCATGGGATTCTGAAACATCGGGCACTACATTTAGCCCCTGACTGGGCAACTATCACAGGTACAGTAGCCAGGGCATATGATATCTTAAACCAAAGGGGCCTATTGCTGACATTCCTGGGACCCTTCCTCTTTCCATTAACCAGAGAGGACTTATATAGGCACCATGCATTGATTGGCCCAACTGGTCCCTTCAGATTAGTGAGTTTGCTCCAAGGATTACCTTGGATGGTCCAGGAAACTCATGTGCCTCTTGCAAAGTCAACTGCTATCATCTGTGGGGAGCATTTAGTGCTCTTGCCCTGCAGAGAGACAGATGCATCATGAGATAAACATCATTTGTGCATGTGAATGGCGAGCTCATTCTCAAAGCTTCCAGAAGACCTGCATTGTAGCGGGACCAGCCACAAGAGGGGTTATTGGGTGCCACTGAGGCAGATGTTCATTGGGAGTGAGGAGGTGCTCATAGAAATATAGCCTTCGAAGGGCTTGTGTCCAGAATGGAAAAGCACCTTGCACTTCATAGCCCTGCAGTGCTAAGCAGGGGCGAATGAGAGTCTTGTGGAGCCCAGGGCGTGGGGCCTATTGAAGCGTGGGGCCCGGGGCAGCACAATTTCGTGCATGTTCCACAGCCACAGCCGACAGGTAGTGCACATGCCCAGGGCCTATTGAAGCATGGGGCTCAGGGCAGCTGCCCCGCTCGCCCTGCCCTATATCCGCCACTGGTGCTAAGCCCCTGTTCCTGCACAGGAATTTATTTATATTTTATGTAAGGGGTCCCTATCACTTTGCTATTGTCCCATTGCCAGAATCTTCCTTCTCATTCACTCATCAGTCCATCCGCAGATGCACCAGATGAACCAGGGTCCTTAAGCTCATCAGGCAACATCAACAAATGCTTAAGCCACTCATCCTCTCTGGAAAAAGCCCCTGTACTATTCCAGTTCTAATTGGTGCCCTTCCTTTCTGAAGCCAGCCCTCTCAAGGCTTCTTTAGCTATCCTGAGCTAGAAATAGGCCAGAGGCAGGGGATTAAAGTGGGGAAGATGCCCAGAGTAGCTGCCTTTCCCCTCATTCACCTTGGAAGGGATGCAGCTAAACAATAGCTACCTTTTCCGCACCACCATGCCAATTGTTAGCGCTTCCCTGATAAATGGAAAGGAAATAAATGTATTGTAACACAGCTTGGGAAGGTCTGATTCCAGCAACTCTGGAGGGGGCTCAGCTCTCCACGGCCTGGCTTGTCATCCCTCAGCTAGCTGAGAGAGAGCAGAAATATACATGGAAGTGCGGCCCGCAAGTGGGAGCACCAACTTCCATCACTGGCTCTGGCTGTCAGTGCTGATCTACCCTTTCCTCCACACGCATGCCAGGCCTGCAGGGATCATTGCACAGTCCACCTATCTGAGTGTGATTAGTGAAGGGGGTGTGGCTAAATGTTCCTCATGGCTAAGTGAGATATTAGAAGGGGTTACCTGAAGCTGTCAAGGTTGCTAGATGTCCCTGTTACTGGGAGAAGATAGTGCCCCTTTGAAGCATATAAGCGATGATTGACAAATGCCTTTCTTCTCCTGGGCATCAGAAATGGCAAGTGCCCCTGCTGGAAGCATCAGCACCAATGGGGGAAGGCAATGGAATGCTGTTGATTTTTTCAATGGGGGAAGGCAATGGAATGCTGTTGATTTTTTCAATGGGGGAAGTCAATGGAATGCTGTCGATTTCACTTGCAAGTGGTCTGTAGGTTTCCCTTGTTGGATGTGCAAGGCCAGTCCTCCACTAGGTGATACCTCTTCCATGATTCCCCTAGATACACTAGATAAAAGGGAAGCCCAGACCCCCACTGTTCTGTTCCATGATGCCATCCTAGGGACTGTGCATGCACTCAGTCACATAGCTCCTTCAATTAGCCATCTCTCCTGGTCTTTCTAGCAGTCCTCTTTGTCCTGGGCTTCCTGACAGTTTTGCTGTTGAGCCTGGCTATCATGCTGAGGCCCCCCATTTCCAGCCCAAGCCCCATGAAAAATTGGAAACCACGGTGGAGGAGCCTGGGTGAGCCACACATCCCACCTGAATACATCCTCATTAAAGACAGGTGAGTCTGTCTGCACACTGGCACGCTGCTAGCTCTGGAGCATACAAAGAGACCTGTAGGGTAGCGTGCAAGTGTAACCCACACACCTAATGTGGTTACTGAGCAATGCAAGTGGTACCTAAACCACAGCAACAGCTAAGATCAAGAGACCTCTTCAGCATAGGCTGGGAGCCAGCTGGCTTTTAGCTCAGAGGGTAGAGGCTCCTATTCTCTGCTTCAGAGATCCTAGGTTCAAATCCACCTGGCACTGGTTACATCAGTGCAGTAAAGGAAACTGGCTTCTTACTGCACTGTCCAGGTGGATGCTGACCCCTGTTGCCCTTTGGCACTACACGCCCATCCACCGTCACAGTGTGATGGGTCCTCAGCTGCACATAGAGGAAGCTTCTCTGTTTCCCCACAGAGCGGTGTTTCCTCTATTGCACTCCAGGGACTTCCTATTCACATCTCCACCTGCACCCCTTGCACAGTGCCATCATCTCGCTCTTTTCATATGAACCATTTTGCCTGGTTCGATGCTCCATCGCCCTTGTACTGCAGAATGTACAAGGAAAAAGTTAATCTGAACTGAACTGGTGATGCTGCACTGCTACTGAGAGCCAGCATTGGCCCTGCGGGCATGTGCTAATCTGTCCATGGGCATTGTCTTTTTCTCCTTCCAGCCTTCAGTTCTATGAAGCCCTTGGTCCTCATGGTTCAGGAGGAGGAAATGATGGCGGAGAGAAAGGAGTTGTCCATGGTCCAGGTAAAGCCAGGCTGCTGATGGGACCAGGGGAGCAAAGAGGTTGCCCTAGGGCTCACTGATTTAAAAGGGCTCAGGGATCTCAGCTGTTGCTGCTGCTTCTACAGCAGCCAGAGCCCTTAGGACCTTTAAATTGCCACCAGAGACCCACGTGGCAGGGTCCAGGCAGCTCTGAGGTCTGGCTGCTGCTAGTCTCACCCCTTCTGCCTGAGTCCTCACCCCTTCTTGGGACCCAAAGCCAAGCCTCCCCTCTCTTCACCACACACACATTTGGCCATGACCAAGCAAAATGTGTCACCAGTCCTGGGTAAAGCACTTTGTTAAGGCCAGACTTTCCTTTAGACTTGCTCGTCCTCATTCCCACCAATTCTGTTGTGTTCTCATTCATGTACCACACCCTTACCAAGTGCTTGCACATTTGGGAACTCCTGCTGCTGCCCAGTCACTTGTGGTCACACATTCACTCAGTCTGCCATGCACTCGCAGACACAGACATCTCATGGGCTCCTCCTTCCATTCCAACACTTGCCTTTCACACTAGCCTGCCAGCTGTGTGATGAGATTAAGAGGTCCACCCTCATATAAAGGAAGGACATCTGAGGTGGGGGAGGGATGCACAGCGTTAATGAGCAAAGCCAAGCTACTGAAAACAAGAGCCTCATGTTGGCTCTGATGTTCTCCAAGTGCCCAGTGACCTACAGTCTTTCTTCCCCTCCTTCAGTGACACCCCTGAGGTGATGGTCTCAAGACATGGTTCATGCTAATGCAATAAATTTAGGGCCCAGCAGGTGGCACCATCTACTAGCTCTGGGAATTCTTGTGCTGTAAAAAGCTAACTTTAAGAGCCCAACAGGACACAGTGGCTGTGTCTAGACTGGCAAGTTTTTCCGCAAAATCATCTGCTTTTGTGGAAAAACTTGCCAGCTGTCTACACTGGCTGCTTGAATTTCCGCAAGAACATTGACGATCTCATGTAAGATTGTCAGTGCTTTTGCGGAAATACTATGCTGCTCCCGTTCGGGCAAAAGTCTTTTTCCGGAAAACTTTTGCGCAAAAGGGCCAGTGTAGGCAGCAGAGATTTGTTTTCCGCAAAAAAGCCCCGATCGTGAAAATGGCGATCGGGGCTTTTTTGTGGAAAAGCGCATCTAGATTGGCCATGGACGCTTTTCCGCAAAAAGTGCTTGTGCGGAAAAGCATCCTGCCAATCTAGACGCACTTTTCCGAAAATGCTTTTAACGGAAAACTTTTCCATTAAAAGAATTTCCGGAAAATCATGCCAGTGTAGACGTAGCCAGTGGGTTGGTGCTGTGGAGACTGGAACTTCCAAGGGGGGATGATTCTATTCTCTGTTCAGCAAAAGAATGCCTGAAGTTCTGAAAAAACGGTACCTGCTGTCCCTGCTCCGTGGCTGTCTCTTTACTGGCACCTGCTCTGAGACAGACAGGAGAGCGCTGTCATACCCAGGTCCTTGCATCATGCACTTGTTCGTTTGCATCTCCTAGAAAAACAATAATAAATAGATATTTAGTGTGATTACAGCTAGGCACTGCAAGAGTCAGAACATACAAAGAGGAAAAAGCTGCAGCAGCCTAAATCACACAAGCCCAATGGTAAGATCAGAAAATGAATGGCACTTTAGCATTTCACTGGCACTTCTAGAGATGTCAGTCTGGGTGCTCCACTCCAGGTCAGCCCTGGGCCTTTGATCAGAGACTTTCATAGCAGTTCCCATAAGGGCCATGCACACAAAGTGTCTGCCTCGTGAGCTGTCAGTGCCCAAGTAGCACATGCAAAGCCCAGACTCCTCAGTTCCTTTACTACCATTCCTGGCTAGAGACAGAGTCTAGCAGTCTTGCTAATTTCACACTTTGCACCTTTATTTGGTTCTAGCTGTTCGTTAGTTTTAATGGGGGTTTTTAGATAAGGTTCAGTTATTACTTCCCTGACCCCAGAACTGGGGGCTATCGCCAACTGGATCTCTTTGCAACTGCAACAAACAAGAAATGTCCCAAATTCTGCTCCAGAGCTGGTCTGGGAAGTGCTCTCTGGGAGATGAATTCATAATCACATGAACACTGTGCTGTATGTATTCCCGCCAATAACTCTGCTGTACGGAGTGGTACAGAAAACAAGATTAGATGTCTTTTGAGAGAAGTCCCTGTGGGTGCTCCACTACCCACCCTCCTCCCCTCTGGTTTGGACTTTGCAGCATGCTCCGTTGTAGAGAAGGAACTGAGCAGTCTGGGCCATGCACGTGCTATTCAAGCACTGACAGCTCATGAGGTTGGCTCCGTGCATGCGCAGCCCTTACATGAACTGCTGCAATCGAAGATGTGGAGATGCACATTGACTGGGAGTGGAGCACCCACAGGGACATGAGTTACTGTACAGGGTGAGTAACCGCCTCTTTTCAGCCACAAGCCTCCAGGCCTCAAAGTGCATTACAGAGGCTGATGTCTTTATTCCTGTGGGGAGCCCAGCAGAATAAGGTCCCTGCCGGAGATGTGACTTAAGGACCCATGAAGCACAGGGCAGAGTTGTGAATAGGCTGTATCTGGCCCTTAGGGTTGGCATTCCTTCTGCTTTCCCTTTGAGACAGGGATTCTGTTCTCTAAGCCTCTTCCTTGAGGACAAGGAAAGGGCAGTGGAGCTGAAACCAGTGGGCTTTGTAAAACAAATGTGCAGTTCATAGGAAGCCCACTGCTCTCTTCTCCCATATAAAAGTATCAGACTACATCACCCGTATCCACAGAGCCATGGCGTCTCCCCTTCAGTTTCAGAAGACCGACCCATGGAGGATTCTTGGTTATTAGAACGCTTGAGGCATTTTATCCAGACACCCTGATGGGTGTTATCTCGCTCTACTCCATTCCCACAGGTGTCTAGCATTGACGCTGACCCTCACAGTCTTGCTATTGTTGGGGTGAGGGACATCTGTTTTGCAGCCATTGGGAGCTCCAGCCATGTGAAATAGCCTCCCTGTGTCCCCTGCCTCATTGACTCTCCTTTCCTCCTTTGCACCACATTTCTCTCTCCCCCATTATTATTTATTACACTTTGTGAAGCATGCTGGGATATAGGTCGCTATTAAAGTCCTGGCCCGTAATGCAATGATGTATCATGAGATAATAGCCACTTGAGATTCAGCAGGTGCCTCTCAAGGGGAGAAATATCTTCAGGCCTTTCAAACAGCAATGGAAATGAGAGGTGTTTTGTGTTTCAGGTGAGCAGGCTGCACTGAGGGATCTGGAAGACTTCAGTGTCCGCACCTTGTATGATAAACTGGAGGACCAAAATCTTCATCTGGCTTCTCAAATGGCAAAACACAGGACGGATGCCTTGGCCTTTTACAGGGGGATCAGCCAGAGGATACAGGGTCTGATGGTCAGTATGGGAAGGAGCTTAACCAAAGGGATCTCAGAGCCTTGGAACTTGTAGCATAGATCATTTACTGGGTAGGGATTGGCTCAGCACAGCTGCTGTGGCTGAGGATTCCCAGTAACAGCAATGGTCGAGACGCATGCAGCTGGGCAAGAGAGTCCCTCCTTCTGTTCTCATTTCACTAAGGTTAGCAATGCCTCTGTTACCTCCATATAAGCTAAACTGCAGCAGCGTGTTGGAGCTACCCATAAAAGGCTACCAGGTGCAGCATACAGCTGTCCACTCTGAGCAGGGCAGACCCGCAGGAATATCTCATTCTGCACTGGCTACCAGCCCACTTCTCGGTGAAGGTTAGGGAGCTAGTGAGGGAGCTAGTGATTACAGAGCACTGAAGTGCACAGAGCCCACCTATCTCAAGCAAAAGCTTCCCCTAGCAACTGGATTGTTTTTACTCCCCATCCCTAGCGTGACATGCATAACAGCCAGCGAAAAGCATTTCCTCACTTTCAGTTTTGGAATTTGCTCCCGGTGGAAATTCTTCTGAGCCTGATCTTGGCCATGTATTAGTGCAGTATTGGATTAAACTCTTGGACCCAGCTACCTCTCAGCTCTGGATCCCTACCACTTAGACACTGAGAATCTAGCTAATAGATTATTAGGTCTGGTCTGTGCTAGAAAGTTGTACCAGCAAAATGGATCCGTTTCAGCACTTGGTGGTGATTATCCCTTATATCTGTCCCCAGACTATGAACCCTCTGCTATTTCTGTCATTTCTTCTCCCTTTGGGGAGGGACATGAGATTCTGTCACTGCAGTTTTGTTAGCACAGTAGCAGTGTGGACACTGTGCTACTGTCTAAACGGTTCTCTAGCTGTAATCCCATAATGCATCATTCCTTTCAGGAGTGACCTCTCAAGTAGCACTTTGGAACTCAGCTGCCCTGAGTCATGGTGATCAGAAGGGCAGCTCATTTGAAATGCCCAGGGTGGTTTTCACAATTATATCTGTTTCTGCTACCTACTACGTTTTTGCTGAAAGCATGACCCCTTGCTCTGCGTCTCGTACTATGGCCTGGTCCAGAAGGGAGGTGCTAGATTTCTTTGCACTATAAGGCAGCAGCAGCATGGGGTAGCAGTTGTAATTCTTCAAGGAGCTGCAGTGCCTTTCCTCCCTGAGGGCTCCATAGAGCATGTAGGCACAGCCATTGTGGCTCCTGTAACCCTTTCTGGAGCTTTCCAGGGTTTCGGAGATGCACATCCACTGTGGCACCTGTCAGTTGTGGTATAGCGTACTCTTGGCCTCGTATTCAAAGCCACACAAAGCTCCCCTGATACTATAGTGTCCTTACACATACAGATGATCTGGGGTCAAATTCTGCCCTGGAATGCCAGCATAGGACTTGCTGAGTGTGAAGGTAGCAGGTAGCCCGTGGTGTCTCTATGCTTCGTTGGAGAGACTGAGCGGTAGAGCATGACATTGCTGTTCTCTGTAACTAGGACTTGGTGCAAACTCTGGACTCTGAAGGGCTGAAAGACCTCACCAGGCAAAGCATCTCTGTGGATAGAGCCCAGGGCAGCACCCAGGTCGCCATGGACACTGGGCAAAATGACACATTGACCAGCCAAGATTTTCAAGCAATGTTCTACACAGGTGAGAGATCCACAATGGGGGAAAGAGAGCTGCAGGGACTGGTTAGGAAAACCATCGTTCGTGCTAATGGAGAGCAGAGATGACTCCAGTATCACAGCTCTCCATGTCACTGGCAGTCACAATTTCCATAAGAATGGATGGCAGCTTCCGAGGTGAGTTCCCTTGCGGAAGTGGCCTATCAAACGGTGAAATCAATAGAGTCCTATAGACGTGTAGAACTGTCTATAGAAATTACTGTAAACCTTAAGAAATTCAATAGGGAACGTTCGACATTTTACATTGGCTTTATTCAACCCAGCCTGTAGGATTCCATAGCAGAGTTATAATTCTTTATTAAATTCTGTGGAATGGCACAAGATATGTTATAATTCTCCAACCAGCTCCACAGAGTTCTAATTTTAAGAGACATCAGCCCTATCAAACTCCAATCTGTGGGATTCTTCCACAAGGGCTGGAGGGGAGATGTGCTGGCTGTGCAGTGTTAGACAGGTAGTAAGAACATAAGAACAACCATCCTGGGTCAGACCAATGGTCCATTTAGCCCAGTATCCTGGTTTCTGAGGGTACGTCTACACTAGCTCGTTAGTTCGAGCTAGGTAGGGTAATTAGGGCAAGCGGAGTTGCAAATGAAGCCCAGGATTTAAATATTCCGGGGGTTCATTTGCATGTTCCCAGGCACCGCCATTTTTAAATCCCCCTTAGTCCGAACTCCGTGCCCGCGGCTACACGCAGCACAGAGTAGGTAGTTCGAATTAGGATCTCTAACGTGCTTTGCAAGTGCATGGCATTTTAGAATAGGAAGCTAGGAATGCTGTGCTACCCTACAGGGAGACTATACAGAAGCGCAGTGGGGTTTAGAGAGCTGGGAACGGATTCAGGCACGGAGGTTGGGATTAACAACCATAGCAGAGCCTCTACTGTACGTCTCTTTTGCAAAGGAGCTCTGGGAGACACGGTTCCAGGTTTCAGCCCGGGATATTTAAATCCCGGGCTTCATTTGCAACTCCGCTTGCCCTAATTACCCTACCTAGCTCCAACTAACGAGCTAGTGTAGACGTACCCTGACAGTGGCCAGTGCCAGGTGGCTCAGAAGGATGAACAGAAATGAGCAATTTGCAAGTGACCTATCCCCTATTGTCCAGTCCCAGCTTTTGGCAGTCAGATGCTTTTGGTCATCCGGACCATGGGGTTGTGCCCCAAACTATCTTGGCTAAAAGCCACTGATGGGCTGATCCTCAATGAACCTATTGCCATCAGCAGTAGGTCTGCAGAGAAGCTGAAACCTGGAACCGTGTCTCCCAGAGCTCCTTTGCAAAAGAGACATACAGTAGAGGCTCTGCTATGGTTGTTAATCCCAACCTCCGTGCCTGAATCCGTTCCCAGCTCTCTAAACCCCACTGCGCTTCTGTATAGTCTCCCTGTAGGGTGGCACAGCATTCCTAGCTTCCTATTCTAAAATGCCATGCACTTGCAAAGCACAGCTACGTGGCTGTATGTCAGTGCTAGAATGATGAGACTTGTGCATGGGTTCATAAGCACTTGAGAATGAGCAGGGCTTTATAAAAGTGTGGAACAATCCTTGATTATTGCTGTTGCTGAATCACTCACTAGGTGCTGAGTGGCGGGAGGCAACAGAGTTAATGAAAGCTCTGAAAATCCTGATTGGCAAAGTCCATTGTGGGAAGATGATGGTGAAGCAAGAGCCACTACAGCTTGTTCAGGGACAGGATGGGACAGCAGAATCCAGCCGAACCCATCAAAGGAAAGCAGGAGCAGAGCAAGGGCAGGTGAAGAAGGAGCTGACCCCAAATAGACATCTGCCTTATTCCCAATGACTTGTGTCTCTGTCCATGTCTGACACTTGGCCCTTTTATATCCTACAGGATCCCGGCATGCTCCAGCAGCATGAACACTCCAATAAGAAAGGCACTTTTGTCACCTGTGAAGAACAAGGTAAGAGTGATGGTCCAGCTGTGGACACAGTAACAAGTCTGGGGGTGCTGTAGGAGACTGATACTTGGTTAAAATAATCCCCAGAGTATATGAGTAGTGACACTTAAAATGTTCTTTGGTGTTTCATGGTTAGTATGTATGGAGAGGTCTTTTTGTGATGGTGGGACGGTGAAGGAGCATTACTCAGTAAGCTCCCATTGCTCATCAGTCCAGGAAAGGCCCTGCAGAGAACTATACTGTGATGAGGGAGATCCTAGAACCATGATGGAAGGGAAAGGGACAGCTGCCCCATGCCCTTTAAATCACCTCTAGTGCTGTGGGTTGTGCAGACTGGGCAGTACTGAAGGACAGGCTGGGGGAGGCTAATCTCAACCCCACCCCTTGCAGGTCACCCTGCCTTGCCCATGGGCCTGGCAATCCTGTCGGCAGCCCTCAGAGACCCACAGCACTCCTAGCCACTTTGCAGCCGTGCATGCTGCAAGCATCTGCTGTGAAAGATGTTGGATGCCATGCACTGATCAGCCACTGGGTGGACGCTCTCAGGAAAACTGATCACCAGCTCGATATGAAGGAGCATGAACTCATGGCTCTTTAGCAGGTGGGGTTCAGGAGCAGCATTCTCTCGAGGCTGTAGGCAGTACACATCCGTGGAACGAGGAGTAACGGTAGTTCGGACTAGGAAGCCTAATCCAAACTACCTAGTCCGTGCCGCGTGTAGCCGCACGGCACGGAGTCCGCACTAGTGGACATTTAAAAATGGCGGTGCCCGGCAATATGCAAATGAAGCCCGGGAAATTCAAATCCTGGGCTTCATTTGCAACTCCGGTTGCCTACATTACCACCCTAGTTCGAACTAGGGGGCTAGTGTAGACATACTCTAACTGTCCACCTGCCCCTCCGTCATCATGAATCCTCTTCCTTTCTCCCGCCTGGGAGGTGCATTGCTAGATGACACGCCATGTCTGTGTTCCATAGAGCTATGTCCACAGCCTGGGAGGGCCACGCTGGCCTGTCTGACTGAGCTTGAGGTGGAGAGTCTGCTGGCGACTTCCCCCCTCGCCAAGACTCTGCGTGAGATCAGGCAGGCTTTGGAGAAGCAGCAACAACATCCTATTGCTTCTGCTTCAGGTAAAGTAGCAAAATTCCTCTTGCATGTCCTCCAGCCCGTCCCTCTTGAAGTGCAGAGTGCAAACATACAGGACTGGTGCCAGGGAAAGGAATGAGTAATTCTCAAGTTCACTCTACATTTGTGCTCAGATGAGGGACTTTTTCATAGATGAAATATCTCAGCAGGTCATTAAATAGCTTAGCATAGGTTGGAGCTGGTGGAGAATGAAGTCCTCCTAGGCTGTGTCCAGACTCAGGGTTTTTTTTGGGAAAAGTAGCCTTTTTCCGAAAAAACTTCACCTGCGTCTAGACTGCAGCCGCGTTCTTTCGAAATTAAATCGAAAGAACGCGGCTTTTCTTTCGACGGCAGTAAACCTCATTTCACGAGGAAGAACGCCTTCTTTCGAAAGTGCTTCTTTCGAAAGAAGGCGTTCTTGAATGTAAATAGGGCTTCTTCGAAAGAGCATCCAGACTCACTGGGTGCTTTCTTTCGAAAAAGCGGCTTGCTCTTTCGAAAGTTCAACGTGCAGTCTAGACGCTCTCTTTTGAAAGAGGCTTGCAGTCTAGACATAGCCTTAGTGATCCATATATAGAGCAAGGGTCAGGGGTCTGGCTGGCCTGCGGAGACCAATTAGGACCTGGGGGCGGGGGAGCACCTGAAGCCTCCTCCCGCTCTGCCAGGAGCACATGGCGCTTTAAAGCACTGTGTGCTGCTCACAGGGCAGGGGGGAGAGCGAGGAGACTTCGCGTGCTCCCCTGTCCCCAGGCCAATCAGGGCTTGGGAGTGGGGAAGCTGCGTGAAGTTTCCTTCACCCTGCCACAGCCCTGGGAGGAGCCCGCGTCACTTCAAAGTGCCACGTGCTTCTTGCAGGGTGGGAGGAGGCTTCCTGCACTCCCCCGCCCCAGACCCTGATTCGCCTGGGGGTGGGGAAGCGTGCCAAGCCTCTTAAAGGGCATGGGTGCCTAGTGGGAGGAGGGGCAAAGGGGCTCGCCAACCCCCAGACCAATCACGCCTACCCCTTCCTGTTTCGGCCCCACCCCTTCTGGGGTGGCCCGGGGCTACTTCAAAAAGTTTTGAAATGACCCCTGGGCAAAAATTATTGCCCACTCCTCCTGGCATAGGTATTAGAAGGGCAAGCTTCCCTGGCAATGCGTCTCACTCCCGCCTAAGAAAGATTGGAGGAAAAATTAATCTCTGGGTCCCATTTGCCACTTGGCTTCCCTGCTGATAATGACAGTGAGAGGGACAGGGCTTAGGGGAGACTGAGGATACCTCTCCTGGGGCATTGGACATGTCAGAGGCAAACTGCCAACCCTGGAGCTGCATGGAGCCTTCGATCGTGGTGAGGTGGGTGGGGGCGGGAGGTATCCCCATGTGGTCGATTTGTACAAGGAGACCACAAAAGCATGGTCTGGCAGAGGACACTGGACTCACTGGCCCCTGCCTGCTTTCAGGAACCCAGCCGTTTATACTGACATAGCCTGCTGTGTACGGTGCCTTTGCAGCTACACTCTGTGCTTCTCCAGAACTATCTCTGGAAGCCTGTGACAAAGGGAAGGAAATAACTGGTGGAATTGTAGCTTGTGGTGGAGAAGTTCACAGAGGAAGGAGGAGAGCAGTGCATTGTGGGGCATGGTGCTAGTTCCCAGATGGTGGACTTCCCTAGGGAGCAGTAAGTGGTGTTGATTTGCAGAGGGAAGAAGACCGCTCCAGGGAGCAGTGAATGACGCTAGATTGCTTACCTGTGTCTTTTCCTTTCCAGAGGCACATCGGAGTGACAGTTCTCCAGGGTCCACCGGGAATACATTGGTCACAATGGATTTAGCCAGCCTGTCCCCTCGCCAGTTTGTGGTTTACCGCTTCGGCTGCACTGTGGTTCGCCTGCTAAGCAGGGCCTGCTCCCACCCAGGCGTAGTACTCATGTTGGCTCAGACAGTCCCAGACCAAAGCTCAGAAAGGGTCCAAGAAGTTCTCCAATGCCCTAGAGATTCTTACTATGATGCCACCAACAGGTTCCTGTATATATGTTCAGCCTGCCTGGAGAATGCCGGTGAATTTATAGCCATCCTTCTGAATGCCATGGCATGGATCAAAGCAGGTATGAGTTTCAGCAATCGATGGGATCAGGATGTCTGCTATTTATACTCTATCTGCGACGCAATGGGAAAGAACAGATTCTTTTACAGGGATGGCTTCATAGTCCCAATCATTTCTTCATTTCTTAGTAAGAGTTTGCTGTCTGGGCACAGTTTGGTTTTCTTTGCTCCTGGACACAGCTCTATCTCCAGCCTTGCCGTACTGCTCTACATGACCTCACGTGTTATCTCCTTTTCCCAGGTGCTTTGGGTCCTTTCTGGCCCTCGTGCTGAGACCCAAAACTAGGAACAGAGGAGTAGCTTCGAAGGCACAGGGCACTCCCCAGCAGTGGGATTGCAGCCCAAGTAAAAGGGAAGCTTTCATTTAACGTTTGGATTTTTTGAGAGTCGGGTCAACCTCAGTGATCCAGGAGCTCTGCACCAGACCAGGAAGGCGAGAGCCTCTTTCGTCCCCAGGCAAGGTCCTGGGAGCTCCCTTGCAGCTGTAAAGGGCTCAGTGGGTGCAACAGGGTGGCCCATGGCAGCTGCCAACACTGTGCAGTCTGCTACTCTGTGGCTCACTGCTGTCAGGACCTGCTGTGTGCCACAAGCCCTTACCCCTATGGCTGCAGCTTTAAGGACTACAGGGGAAGCGAGGCAATAGAATTCTGATGAGTGTGGCCAGAGTGGCCAGCTAGGTACCCGTGGGATTTACTGGAGGCCTCTTATTTTGAAATAACCCTAGCTGCCCCAGCTACTCAAGCCCTATTCTGAAATAGCTAGTTTGGAATGGGCGTTATTCCTCGTAAAATGAGGGTTCCAGAATCTGGAATAAGACACCCGTTATTTTGATAATATATTTGGAAATAACGGGCTTGCTGTGTAGATGCTCACTTCATTATTTCAGAATAATATCCATTATTCCGAAATAACGCTGCTGTGCAGACGTGCCCATAGAGTGTAGGACATCTTTGAGTCCTATTGGAACACGCTATGGGTATGTTTAGACTACATCCCTCTGTCGCCAGAGGGATGTAAAGTAGACATACAGAAATTGCTAATTAAGCGGGGATTTAAATATCCCGCGCTTCATTAGAATAAAAATGGCCCCGCTTTTTGCTGACGTAGCACTTTGCTGGCAACAAGCGGCAGTCTAGATGGGGATCGGTCAACAAGGAAAGCCTTTTCCGACCAGTCCTGTAAACCTCATTGCACGAGGCATAAGGGATCGGTTGGAAAAGGCTTTCCTTGTCGACCGATCCCCATCTAGACTGCCGCTTGTAGCCGGAAAAGTGCCACGTCGGCAAAAAGCTGGAGCCGTTTTTATTCTAATGAAGCGCGGGATATTTAAAAATCATTAGCAATTTTGGTATGTCTAATTTACTTCCCTCTGGAACGAGGTGTACAGATAGTTCGGAATAGGAAGCCTAATCCGAACTATCTAGTTCGTGCCGCGTGTAGCCGCGGGCATGGAGGCACCCGGCAACATGCAAATGAAGCCCGGGAAATTCAAATCCCAGGCTTCATTTGCAAGTTCGTATGACTACAATAACCACCCTAGTTCGAACTAGGGTGGTAGTGTAGACATACCCTCGTGTAACCACTCAGAAGTCGACAAAACAGAAATAGGCAGAGGGTCTTCACATTTGTGTCCTCTGACAATAGATCAATGAAGTTGTTGGGGGGGAGAATCTCTTGTAGGGGTGGAAGATTTTTGTCATCAAAACTGGGCATTTTCCCCAAGACCAGTCTCATTGCAGCATGTACGTTCTTATTGTTTTGTCACCAAAAGGCAGTTTTTGGTGACAAAACTTGGTAAATCCCATTGTCATCCTCCATTCTTTCTAAAACCGCTTCTGCTGAACAGATGCTTTGGTTATTTCTGCCCTTGCTGCTCTTTTGTCTGCTATGGGCTCAGTGGACAGACTAGCTAAAGAGGCTGCACCGTGGGATTAAAAGGCCGATGGTAGCTACAGATGAGCAGTGCAACTGGGATGTGACTCCATCAACTTTTGTCTTTTTTCCAGGTTCTACAGCAGCTGCCACTGCTCGTTCTTGCTTTCAGATGGAACTCAACAGAGGCATCACAGCTCTAGCTAATGCCTTTTTCCAGTGTTCCTGGGGAGCAGTAGAGAAGGTAGTTGAGACAATGTGACTTCTGTTAGTGGCCGTGACAATTATACTTGCAGAGCAAGGGGACAGTGGATTACAGCAGTGTGGAATTGTTCAAATCCACCCAAAACTTGCCTGGTTGAGCGGGGTGTGGTGCAAACTCAAACTTAATGTAAGGTTTGTTGTTGCATTAAGAAATCTTCTGAGCATACCTGGGGCTGATTCATGGTTTTGACTTGAATTCTTTAGAGTCTAGTGGATTATATGGTATCAGCACCAAGCTGTGAGTTGCTGGTGAATGTCACTTTTACCTAGAAGTGTAAGTTGGGAAGCATAATCCTCAAACTTCAGGGGAAGTCTATACTTCATACTCTGCTCACATTCCACATCCAAAATGCTCTTTAATCTCAGGGATGAATAGTGATCCACAGCGAGTAGAAATTTTCCCTTAGTCTACAAAGTTTAAACAATGCCTTCTTTAGACATGTGTCCATCTACTATCCCTAGTATTTGGTTTGTACGTGAATTAGAACCAGACATACAATAAAACCTCAGTTCTAAACTCTCATAAACCATGGGGATGGTTCAAATTTGAAATCTGGATCTGAACTTCATGGTGTATATCCTTCTCTAGTTTAAAGAATCTCTGAATGGCAATAATTCTGCAATGGGAGGCAGCCAATCCCTTGTGAGCTTCATTAGTTAATTTTCCTGTAAGACTTTTGAAGTATCCAGTGTAATCACAGAAGAAATGTTGCTATTTTGATTGACCCTCTGGTGTTTACTCTGTGAGAGAGAGTCTGCATGCCTGATTTTTTTCAGATATGCTGAATACCCACAATTCCTACGGAAATCAGTGGAAGATTGCAGGTACTCAGCGTCTCTGGAAATAAGGCTCTGGAACTGTGATTCCCATAGGTTCTTTCCTTTCTCTTTGTGCCCATTCTAGGATCCTGCAGAAGACAAATCACCCACTTGCTCTGACTGCCAGACAATATTCAAAGAACTTCTGAGCATCCGAATGTCACCAGATCCCCAATTCCTTGAGAAATCCCAAAATGACAGGTACTGGAGATCAACACAATGCTGAAAACAATTATGGGAGGAAGAATTTAATCAGAAAAATGTGAATGATAACTGGGAAGTAACACTTTTACTGCATGCCCCAAAAGACACAATGTCATAGTCAAGGAAGAAGGGCTGTATTGGTTAAAAAAACCCACCTGGTTTAGAGGGGACAGTCAGACAAGACTGATAGTAGTGAAGTTAAGATTTGTAGAAAAATTAAGCTCTAGTTCCTCCATTTTCTTACCTAGGCTCCTTGCATTGGTGTACAAACATCTTAATTTTTGCTGTTTCACCTCACTCACATTCTTTACCCCATTTGGCATGGACATTGTACCTCCAATATGACCTATTAGACTAGTATCCACTCTTCCCTTCCTCCTTATGTCCATTCTCCTACCCCCAGCTATATCCTTTCTTACTTTGTTTTCCTCCCTCTCAATGCTAAAATCTGGCGTAGAGATTACCTGGAGATCTCCCAACTGTCTCCTCCAAATTCCTAGTTTAAAGCTCTCTTAGGGTATGTCTACACTACAAAGTTAGTTCGAACTAACGGACGTTAGTTCGAACTAACTTTAATAGGTGCTACACTAGCGCTCCGCTAGTTCGAATTTGAATCGAACTAGCGGAGCGCTTAGTTCGAACTAGGTAAACCTCATTTTACGAGGACTAACGCCTAGTTCGAACTAGCTAGTTCGAACTAAGGGCTGTGTAGCCCTTTAGTTCGAACTAGGGGGAGGCTAAGGCTTCCCAGGTTTCCCTGGTGGCCACTCTGGCCAACACCAGGGAAACTCTATGCCCCCCTCCCGGCCCCGGACCCCTTAAAGGGGCACGGGCTGGCTACGGTGCCCGTGCCAGGTGCAAGCCTGCCAGCACCCAGCT